AAGTCAGAGATGGAGATAGAGAGATGGAGAGAAGAGGCTTGCTGCCTATGAGAGTTTGTAAGGCTGCAGTGATGTGACAGAACTTGATTAGCTCTAAAGCCCTGCGGTCGGAAAGCTAATCAAGAGGAAGGAGCAGGCATTCACACCCACAGACACCCCGAAGATGTGTTTCCAGCTGTTGCATTCCGAACACTGGAAAAAAATTGTTCGATCTTTAAATAGTGATGACATGAAGACAACAGTTGGCTTAATTATATCAAGGAAATGTTAGTGAACTTAAAGGGAGTGAACTTAAAAGGACTTCAAATATGCCATCTTTACAACAATTACAAATTTAGGTTAAGTATCTGTAAGAAGTTGTTCAATGCAAATTACAATTTTGTGTCATAATATGTGCTTATGAAGTGCATGGAGAGCAAAATATCACATGAACAGTCAACTGGACCAAAACAAGACCAAAACCACATGCAAAAATACAACTGGTCATTTTAGTAAAACATGAGATATTAGGCAAAACACAACATTGCGATTTATCTTGTATTTTTGTTACTGTATCCTAGATATTTTGAAAGTTTATCATATTGCAGTTCAAATCACAAACACAATATTAAATGAAATTACTATAATATGATAAATCTGACAAAAGATGAAGCTCTTAGAAATACTCGTACAGAAGCAAACCCACTGTGATTTGTTGGTTTACAACATCTGTTTGATAAACATTTTAACCAAGACACTGAGGCCATGGTATTTCAGAACAGAGCAATCATTCTATTAAAACTTTTAAGTCTCCAGGGGACAGGCTGATGTACCATTACCATTTCCTTCTGTATCCTTTGTCCCATCTTTCCTAAACACTGTTTATTATAGGCCGAGCATGGCTCTGAGACACCACAACAACTGCATAGGAAAGTAATATATTAAAAGTAATATGTTTTTTGGACTCCATTGACTTTCACTGTATGGACAAGCACGTTTTCAAATATTTAACATAATTTCGTCTTTTCTGTTCCACACAGGTCTGGAATGACACGAGGATGACAGAATATTCATTTCGGCCCTGGGGTAAACTATCTATCTCTATAATCATTAATAACAGAAAACCTGTATTGGAAAAGAAAAAAAAGATTGTTACTTTGCTACAAATTAATATGTACTACCTCCATTAACTAGTCACACAAATCTACAATAAGAAAGAAAAGCAGGTGCTACACTGTAAAATACTTTTTTAGTTTTTAATACTACAAAATTTAAAATAAGATTCAATGTGTTACTTGCTTTGTAATTGTTTGTGAAATTGACTAGCAATTTCAATGTGAAAATTGTTTCTATACAAACATTTTTTCAGTGTAAAGATCATTGATCTGAGGTGAATTACTCTGTTTGGCATGGGCGAAATTGCTCCTATTTCCACATGATGAACACTTTAAAAAGTGTCACAAAGAAAGGACAAAACTGTTGGAGATGTCCAATGTTTTATTCCAAATGTTTTGCTGACTCTGAGGCCCCGTCCACACTACTGCGTTTTCGTTTAAAAACGGAGAATTAAAACGAAAACGATCTCCGTCCACACTAGCGTTTTACCTGCGTATTAGAATTTATCTCCGTCCACACTAAAACGACTGAAAACGTGGATCACGTGACCATTCACCAACACTGGGCATGCGCGCGCCGGTGTAAACAGTGGTTGGCGAATCAGGGAAAGATACGTCATGACTGATGACACCCAATCATAGAGCCGAGCGTGAGCCTCTGCGTCATCGTTTGTAAACTCCTCCGTTTTGTCTTGTCCACACTAAAACACCCTCCGGAGATTCAAAACGCAAAACGGAGCTGCAGCGTTTCTAAACTTCTCCGTTTTAGGTCTTCGTTTTCCCCGTTTTAGTGTGGACGGGAGGTGCAAACGTAGCAAAAGGTCTCCGTTTTTAAACGAAAACGCAGTAGTGTGGACGGGGCCTGAGATTGCAGCACTCCAGGCAGTCTTCAGAGCACAGATACACTATTAGCAAGACTTTAATAATGGCATTTACAGAGGGCCATAGAGGGGGTGTGCTGAGTGTAATGTGTAGGCCTGGGGAGGTGCAATCAAAACACTCAAAAACTCTCTGAGTCACAAACTGAAAAATAGATTATAAGTCACAGATGCAGTTTGACCTAAAGCTGATGTATGTACCCCTCCAACACACACGCACACCAAAGAAGCCTGAGCCTCCACTTCAATTTAGCCTGAACCAGACTGATTCAGCTACATCCTGTCTCCCTGTAAGCTGCATTAGCCGTGCTATTAAATTAATCTTCTCTTCACAAGCAGGTAAAATTTCACAGCTCTATATTTCCAGGTTATATGCTTGTAATTGGGACAGTAAGGGTCAAAACCAAGCCGCTAATGTGACTAGGTAGATTTTATAGCTATAGATACACATCTGAAAGGACAAATCATAAGACAAATTGATAGAGAGCACAGCGATAAATTTGATTGCAGTAACTGGCTGCACTAAACCTAGTAATTTGAATCAAAAATGAGGGAAAATATCCAAGGCCTACTTCTCTGATGGATATAGTCTCTCAACTGTTCCCCACAAATGCTCACATTGACGCACAAATGCGTCAAGACACAAATGTGCACAAAAGACACAAACACTGAATGATTTTAGTACACATCCAAAAGTCCACAGCTTAAAGGTAGGGTAGGCAACTATCGGTGCTGCTAGCAATAGCAAGCTAGATTTGAAAGCATGAGATCCCACCCTCCCTTCAGAGCGCTCTCCAAAGACACACCTTTTTCGAAGCACATGATCGCACACAGCAGAGTTTGCAAAGCGTCACAAGACGATAGACAGCATTACAATAATGAACGTGAACAGCTTAAAAAGCATTGACCTGTCCGACCTGACTGCTTCAGATTCATTTCAGCGTTGATAGTGTTGCCATTGAAACACATCAATTTGAGTATAACGTCACAGGTTTGCATCTCTTCCAAATTACAGGAGTTATAGCACAGATATAACGCAGCATAAGCTCACTGTTTTGGTTCAGGAAGAACTGTAAACGTAAGAGATGGCAGCTGTTTTGGTTGTTGTGCTCGGTGACTGATGTCTTAAGTCTGCATAGCATGAAACACACGGATGACGTGTGATGTCTGTGCGACCAGGCTGCGTGGAGGTATGGAAGTATATATTGACAGGCAGGTAGGACATCGTACCATTGCTTTCAGATAGAATGCAATGATTGGATGAACATTTTATGGTCACACGCCTTCCACAGACAGATATAACAACGCATTCTCATCCCAAGGTGTCATATATAACCCTTTTGCCAAAGCGTAGAGATCCAACGCACATGGCACCCTTTAACGCCAATATAACACACACAGAGCATGGGTAGGTTTAGGTCTGGGGTAGGGTTAGAGTTAGACCACTAGGGGGCGCTTTCTGCCCCATATATATATCTGCGTCTCATATTGACGCTAAAGGGTGCCATGTGGATATCTACGCTTTGGCAAAAGCGTCGTATATGACGCCTTGAGATGAGAAGAACGGGCTGGACATAATAATACTATACTGTAATCAGGATGTGAAGAGACTTTCAACCAGCATAACATAAAAATCGCCTACCATGCCTTTAATGGCAGAATTTTGTTCCCGCCAAAGCTTTGACCTATTCAATATTAGGGAGACCAAATGTATTAATTTATTAATCTGTCAATAATAAATGTTACTCCATCAATAGAACTATTACTACTATAGTAACTTTGCATCTGAGGCTTTAAGTGAACCAATGCAAAAGTCTATTAAAATGGCACAATATGCTGCTTTCATGACCTTCATCTTTTGCACATATGCCAGAGGTGTTATTCTTATATTCTCACATATTTCTATCATATTAGCTCTAAGACATGATAAGAACACTTTTGACTGATATCATAACAAGCCTTATATCACCGATCTGTGAATCATTATCCCACTGGGACGCACTAGAATCCTGTCATACAACCTCGATAACTCACTGCTCGATTTGTTATTCTGATGACGAATCTGGACACGCCGCCCACGCCCACGAGAGAAGAGAAGGCGCGTTATGGCCCCCTCCGCCTCCGCGCGTCAAAAATTCTGCTTCTTTTCTTCAACTATACATGAGGATGCATATTCACATTACATTAATTATCACCATTAAATGTGGATTACATTATGGAAATGGTGATTTTTAACGCTCCGTGACCAGTATTCCTATTATTAGGTGCATGTCGGAGTTCAAGCTCTTTTTGTAAAAGTTAAATTATTTGATTTAACTTTTACAACAGATTATTTGTGATTATCGATAAGAAGCTGATAGGCTATCTTTAGTTGACCGAATTATGCGAGTTAGCATATGTAATATTAATCAATGGCATTAAGGGCGTTCGACGTTTTACTGTCAAATGTCAGCAAGTTTGTGTCGAGGTTTGGAACATCAGTGCCCCTATATCTAACAGATATTTTAAAGACAGTTTAACAAAACTTTAAAGTTCTTGTGATGTGTAACTCAAAAATAAAGATAAATCGTGTTGTCATACCATCCCATACCGATCCTAACGGAAAGCGCTCGAGCAGCGAACTGTTGCTATGGTTACCTCCTCAGGCAAACGGGACTTCTGTTCGCTTGAGGTTATTAGTGCTTTCTGACTTGTAAAATAACTTTTGTGTGTACTGAACTAATTTACACACAAACATATAGTTACAAGTAAAAGAAGACGGGGTACTTTTAAAGTTTTTGTTTGACTTCCTTTGAGGGGTTCAAGCCATTCAAGTGGGAGTTAGAGACTAACAGTCCACCAATAATTCATTCGCTAACATTAATATCAGACACCTGTAACCTTACGCTTAAGAATGTGTAGGCTAACTAGAACATAAACGATCTGATGTATATCAATACAAATATAAGAATAGGCCTACCCTGCGCCATTCGATTAGTATGCTAAATAATGGGCTTTTCGGGTTTAAGGACCAAAACGCATCACGTACCTTTCATCCAGTCCACAACTTGACTGGGGCTCCATTTACTAACAGGTTCCATGACGAGAGCCATCGCGAAACTTTCTGTGGTTGCCCCCTCGACACGGATGTTGATGCGGTTTCACGCAGCTCTGTGGAGCTCAGATCGGTGGTCTCACGTTAAGCGCCTAGATGTGGCCCCCGGTTACGCGATTTCATCCCATCCAGAATTGCGCATCCAAAAGCGTCACACCGAACGACATCAAGCACATTCCTAACCCTTTACTCCAGCAAACTCAAGTGTTTCTTATTATTAACTCCCATATCTAAGAGCCCAAACCTGGTCCCCGTTTCAGTTCAGATCCTGGCATAATGTGCCATGCTCTGCCGGGTCCCCAACAGTCGCGTCTTCATGCCATGCACCAAATGCAGTCTCTCCTGTTTCTCCCTTCGTTTTCCTTTCTTCTCGTGGAGTCGGTACCTTTCAGAGGTGGACTAGCGGGTATGAGAAATGAGCGGTGTACCCACGGGGACTCAAGTGAACGTCGCTTTCAAATGCAGCGGCGAGCGTTGATTCAATTGGGCGCGCGCTCCTCCTGTGGGTGGTGCGGCAAAGTGAATTTGACTCGCGCGCTCGGTTTATTTCCCACGAGGATAAAAGGCTTTCGGCCGTATTCATTTTAATGAGGGCACGCTGGTTCGCCCTGCTTCAGAAACTCTGTAAAAGCAGTGCACGCAAAGTATTTGTCTGGAATATTTAACGAATCTCATAGAGGCGCTATATTTGCATGAGACTTGCACTTGGGACTATGTAACGTGGTCTAAACCAAAATTATGGAGAACTATGGTGGCATTAACCATGAGTGACAAGAATAACTCAAAGATTTATAAATGGGAGTTTAACCGGGGCTAGTTGTCACATATTTCACTCAAGTGAGTGTTTCTCACGGTAGGTTTATTTTTTGAAAGTCAATTTCTGTACAAGAACATAGCCTAAAGTCTTAAAAAGTTATTAAAAATTTCGATTTTAACACAAATTGCCCAGAGAAGTGAAACTAGATGGGCAAGTTGTCTTAATACAAGGAAACCTGTCATTAGCCTATTTCATGATTTCAGGATTCATGAAACATATTACGAGGCTATTGGTTTTGGACAAAAAAATGACCTTGGTCCTAAAATGAATTTAGCAAGAAACACTAGGTTTTTGAAACCAATAAAGCCATTATTTACAAAACATACAATATTAGTACTTTACAATTAAGGTCTTATTTGTTAATATCAGTTAATGTACAAATTAACATGAACTAACAATGAGCATTTGTTACAGTATTTGTTTTGTTCATCTTTGTTAACGTTATAAAAAATGCAGTTGTTCACTGTTCGTGTTAGTTCACAGTACATTAATTTTAACAAATACAACTTTTGATTTGAATTATTTAGTGGTAAATGTTAATAAATGCTGTAGAAGTGCAGTTATGCCATGTTAACAAAGGCATTTGACAAAGGCCTTTGAATTTCACATTATAAGGGAGTAATCCAAATCCAAATCACAATCCTAATGTTAAAATAAACAGTTACAGGATATATTATTCACAGAGAGAGACCCAAAAAGAAGTATACATTTTGAGCATAACAATTGGATAAAAAAAAAAAAACCTTGTATAATGTGGTTTATTATTGTTGGCGGTCTTTGGCTAATATCACAGTGTAAAGTAGAAAAAGGCTTCGTTTTTCCAATGAATTCTGTCTTAGACATCTGTAACTGGTTCACTGAACTACAAAAATATTAAATTCCGTACTTAGTCATTACCATTTCTGAAAAAACTGCATTTTTAGCATCTTTTGTTGCATTTATGAAGTATTATGTTGAACAAAACATTTCTGTAAGTGTTGTCAATATAAATTGAAGTGGTCTTGCAAACCCATCCAACATGGACAGTTTCACCAGTTCACCATCATCCCTGGCCGTCATCCTGGCAGCCTATTGATTTTTTTCCAACTCATCCTTACTTCAGAACCAGAGCAGATGGAGCCAGGAGGCTGGATTCAGGCCCAGATCAGGCCCCAGTATGTCAGCATGAATCATACAACAGATTCTGTGGAACCTCACCACAGAGATTCAGTGATCAGTGGGCTCTGCCCCATAAACATGCACTCTTAATCACACGAGGAGGGTAGAATCAGAGCAACTAAAAACTGGAGCTGTTGGATTCATTTGCATGCATGCAGCACAGTCCAGCTTTCATATGTGTCATCAAAGTCTGCTCTTTTACGAGGGCTCACACAACTGCTTTTGAAACGGATCTTTGTCATTGTATATCGTTTTGATTTGATTTTCGCATATCTGGGGTAGTGTGCCCCCTTCTGGCCACCCAGAGACATGAGCCAAAGTTGCAGTCCTTTTCCCGGAGCTAAACAGAAAGGATTGATCTCACTCTTTATTTGAATACTTTCAACGTATTTTGCAATGTCTCAACAGTGCAGGTTTATAGATACATATAGCCTACAAGTTGTGATCTAGTAATCACTTGCTTGGAGTGAGACCTGGATATCATAGTTTTAGATACAAAAGAAAAGCTTGTCCTTTGTTCTGGGATGAGTGCTATGAAAAGCAGGGAAAGCACTGCTTCCCATGAGGCTAGGGAACGTTGGATAGAAAGATTCTGTCAGCTCTGCTTCCTTACGCTTTTTTGCTGTGCAAACAGGGTGGTAAACAAACACCTTCTGAAGGATGGCGGGGGTATCAGCTTTAGAGCGCATTTTCTGCTTTTGAGTGGGAGGAACTAGGGTGTTTTTATTTCCTGCCGGCCTAGATGTTGTGGAGACGTCAAATGTATTCCTCTATCCATGCTGCTCCTACTGAATGGCACAAAAAAAACAAAAATGAGCGTATGCCGTTTTGGAAAATGAAGTGGGTTAGCAATGCTGTCTGACAGCTGCCACAGGTCTCCTTATCCATAAACACAGTTGGGAGGAATATGCTTGTCTGGCACCAAGATACCTGTGTCTATCCTGAGAACAAGCTAGGAGGTTTGGGGTGCTATTTTTGCTCAATTTTCCATTCCATTAGTTATCTTTAAGAAGACTGATGTTAGAGTAATGTTCAGGGCTCAATAGAAGATATAAGCTTTATCAGCATCTCTGCATGCTGTCAATTAGTACAAAACATTTCACGGGGAGGAGTCGGATCCAGATCCAACTCCTACCACCGTACATACACCTAAACCTACTAGAGCCAGACTGATATATCGGCAGGCCGATAGTTGGCATTCTCTAAAATATCGTTATCGGCAGTTATAATGGCCGATAAATGAATATTTTTTACAAAAATAAAATAAAAACGGACAAATCATGCTTCAACCATGTCATGAGGGTTGGAGTTGTAAAGTTTGTCCACCAGAGGGCACTCTACACCGTCCCTGTTGGCAACACTCGTGTAAGCGCAGCACACATCCTGCCACCTGCTGATTAACTTTGTTTATGCATTATCATATTATTTTAGTTAACTTATAAATAACTACAAATAACTAATGTTAGGGAAATCTGTAAATATTTTGTTGCGCATTTCTGAAAAAAATATAATGGTAATTATTATATCGGCCGATATATCGGATTATAAAACCAACAAATATTTGTATCGGTATCGGCCTTCAAAATCCTTTATTGGTCTGGCTCTAAAACCTACCCAACTCCACCCCTGATCCCTAATCCCTAAACCCAACCCTAATCCTACCCATCTCCACCCCTTGGATCTTGATTCGACTCCTCCCCGTGGATCTCATGTGCTGCATTGAGGTGCTACTGGGTAGCTAACAGACGCTACAGACCTTATGTAGCCCCGCCCCTTTGTCTTTCCATAGCATAAGATATGAATTTACAGTACCAATCTACTGACAGTTGTTATGTGCCAGGGTACGTGCCGGTGTGTCCGTGCCAGTGTCGTGTCGGTGTGTTCGTGTTGGTGTGTCCGTAAATTTCATTTTCAATTTCATTGCCAGCCAAGGATTTTTCCGTAAAGTTTTACTGGGGCTTGTTGTGTCAGAGTAGAATTTTCTTGATAATCATCACCCCACCAAGAGGCGGCGCAATATGTCACTTTATGGGCCTGGATTTTGAAAATATTTCTAACCCAAAAATTTAAGTGCTTCATTTTAGTACATGATGTATTACATCAGTGCAACACAACTAAAGATTGAAGGTCAGTACAGTAGTCACAATACTTACTTTTGAAGCTAGTGGCCTCACTGGTCTGACCTCTCTCTCTCTCTCTCTCTCTCTCTCCCTCACACACACACACACACACACACACACACACACACACTATAATAGCATAACCGCTCTGCTGATGGATGGCCGTTTCCACACAGCTAAACAAACACTCTCCAATAGAGCGATTGCAGGCCATTAAGGCATTCTATCAAGACCAATGGACACATGTCTAGAGGAGCTGGGGTCCCAGTGGTGGGGATATAGATCCATTCTTCAGCCCCCCACCGTCAACAACTTTGGATTAATCTCCAGTTTAGGGTTCAGATTCAATCTCAAGGCCAGTTTGTGTGGACCACAGTAACAAGGTTTTTAGGAGTCAATCGATCAAAGTTAATGCCAACATCCAGATCATTTTCCAGACACAACAGAGCGCAGACTTATTTTCACTTAATAACTCACGGCATGTGGACTATTAATTATTCATTTGACAAGTTCGGCGAAGGTTGAGCTGGAGGGAAGGGCCATGGACTGTAATGGTGGGAAAATCCTCATTTCATCTAAATGGGGCAACGACACTCTAGAGAGGACAGTGTGGCCTCCTATCTGAGGCTTGGTATTTTAAAATAGATAATGACAGACAGAGTTTACTGGGGCCTCCAAGCAGTGGCTTACATACATTATTTGTATTATAAGATTGTGCGTGTGCAGGCTACTGATTGGGAGAGAATGCTAATTTGCACCGTTCATGCAAGTCAAGGGGAGTTTGTTATTACTTTAGGAAATCAAACCTGGCAGGCAAAAATTGGCTAAATAAATTCCATAGACTTGCATTGATGGAGGGGGATAAAATTGAAGGTAGGCTGATTTGAGTAATGCCATGTTCAAACTTCACAATATCGGATTGTGGCAAAATCATTTTCATAACAGAAAATCTGTACCAATTTAGACTTTTTTTAGAATAATTGCTGAATTACAGACATAAGTATTGGGTTTCAGCTCAAATGATACAAATGTAAAAAAATTAATAATAATAATATATAATTTTTTTAAGTGGTTTAAATGTTGACATCTTACTAAGATGCAATTATATATTCTCTTTACTATACAGAAATGGACCATGTACCATATATAGCAACACGCAAAAAACACTCAGAGCATTGTGGCAACCACCCACAAACCCTTGCATTTTAATAGCGACTTTTACAGGGGTTGGTTTGCACACAAAATTTAGTCTACCCAATTTCGAGCCTGTACGTGTATGTATGTGTTTCCAGTTTCTACCACCAAGGAAGATTTATGTACTTTAATAACAGGATGTGATTTAGACCTAAAGGTTGAATGAATCAGCTACGGTCTATTACACTTTGCATAATCAAACCTCTATATTTTTCACTCCAATCACTTCTCTCCTTCTCCTGTCCCTGTGGTGCTGTATAATATCTCAAGCACTTCAATAGCACAACAGCGTTAATTATGAAGGGGAATGTTGATAGACAGATTTTTTTTAGGGCAATACTAAACCCTAGCGGTGAAGCATTGCAGTGCAGTGTTTATGATTTATTCATATAATTACATAACAGACAGGCACTCTCAAGCTGGTTTGTGAGCTGTGCCATTTATAACTCTATTTATAATTTAAAATACTCAGTTCTACTTTCCTTGCATGCCAGGATCCTCTCGATGGATTAGGTTCTTCCTGTTCTGAACATGTCCCTGTGAGATTGTTCTGCAATAACAACACAGCAAATATGGCTGGGAAAAAAAAAACTTGATTATTATTTACCCACTGAAACAAAAATTACACCCAGGAGGAAAAGGCGAGAAATATTATTTTATGCCCCCCCTGTCAGGGCAGAAGAGGTTCATTCAGTACACTTGTTAAACAACATACATAATGTTAGTTATCAAGCCTGCATGAAAGACTAAATGGAGAGTAATTTATATTCATGCTTTGTATTGCTGCCAGAATAGCTTTTATGATATTTCTCAGAGTGCTTCAGCTATTATTTATAACCTAGCAGTAGTATAGATAGGTCACGAATAGCGCTTGTTTTCTTCTACATAAGTGAAGGAGTCTCCCTCGAAGGGCAGGGAAGGTGGCTGGTTGTAGTTGGCCATCATGAAGATGAAGATGGTTCCTAGCGTCATAACTGGAGTGACCAGAAAGAAGCAGAGTCGGTCCACTGTCCTGGCAATCCCACTCCAGTTGTCCTTTTCCTGATATAGAAATAAAAAAAGAGGTAAAAGATTGTAGGTTCAGCTGTATGACATATATTGTATATAGAAATCTATTCCATATATACTTTATATATAGCCTAAATATTAAAGATGTTATTAATGCAACACCTATACTGCAACTTAGAAACTTTAGTAGTTATAATTTGCTGAATTGGTTGTACAAGTCATTTCAACATAATTATATTATTCTAACTTGCAAAAATCGAGTTGAATCTCAGAACTTTGGTCAATTATTTGGAAGAGTTAAAGTAATGTAAACTGTTGTGTTGACGTGTTGATCATCGTTACAGTCATTCTTGTTGTGCATATAATTAAATGAACCGTTAATTTATTAAATAAATCGTTCGAATTTAATAAAAAAAATGAAATATAATTTTTCTAAAATATATTTAGAGTGGGATCTATATGTATTTTATGCAGCCTACTCTATAATTATTAAAGTATCATAATTTGTCATTTTATTTTATTTATGTAGCCTAATTCAGAATAATGTAATAAACCTGTTTTCCTTAAATAAAGCTAAATGAAAAGGTTCTACCAAAAATATGCATATCAATATCATATATATTTTGTTATGATAACTAAATTAAATGCCTGGGGTATCAAATATGATACATAAAACATGTCTAAAATTCGCTTAAATATGTCAGGGTTTACAGGATTAAAAACAGAAAGTCATAATCGTCTTCATACCTCGTTATAGTCGTTTTTGTCGTGCATGTGCTTGACGATGTAATTGGCTCCTTCCACAGCTGGCTTCATCTCGTTGTACAGCTGTTCCGACACCTCTGAGTCATTACTGGATGTGTAAGCTGGGAAGAAATTACTGTTAGTGGCACTAAGCTGTGATAACACTTCAAAAACAAGATCCAAATGCGAGTTTAAAGTATCATTCTGGTGATGTGGGACTGACTGGCTTTGGGAGTGGGGCGAGCGGCCATGCCGTGCCTCTCTGACTGCTTCTCAAACATCAGTTCGCTGCGGGATTTAACACTGTAGTATTCCTCGGCCTGGGCGATGTATCCCAGTGAGCTGGAGCGTCGTGGCAGCGCCCCCTCCAGGCTGGGTTTGTCATCGGACGGACGGGACATGTACAGAAGTCGAGGCAAACGCTCCAAAAAGAACTGTAGAGTGTAGACACAAGATGACAAGTTGTAAAATAATCCAAAACAGGCTTAGAACAGAATCAATGGCTAAGTTATGTGTAGTAAAGCTTTAATGCACAATATATCGCTACCACTGGTTCGGCCCAATTGATTTTTTAATTACCCATATCTGCCGATTGAATTTAATTCTTCATGCTCATTTCTCCATTTTTACACTTAGATTACATTTGCCATCATCTAACAATCACTTAAATTAGTCTTTAAAATACTAATAATTTATTTACCGCTGCAATGTCACCATTTAAAATGAACTATTCTACATTTATGAGATATTTTAGTACTTTTGGGATTAGTGGACATTATTTTTTTAAATCTCTTAATCAAATTAACTTTGCAATGACATCTCTTCTTTGATGACGTGTTTACTGGCACAAGGGCGGGACAACCTGTCACTCACAATAGCAAACAGCAAACGTCCAATCAAATCCCGGTGGATAAAATCGAGTCCCTCCCTACATTTATTCTTGTTCGAGAAGCAGTTTCATTCGGATAAACATCACAATAGGGAAGAAAAGACTCAACTTCTGTTTCATGCCAACATTAAATGTAATATTTAGCACATCATTATTAAAATTAATAATGATTTTAAATAATGTACAGTGTTGTGACACTGTTTTACTGTTTGACAAATCAGTTTTACATGAAAATACTATATCAGTATCTACTTCAAAATGTAATGTTATTGATTTCAATGCAATTATTCGTGATTTTTCTAGCAAGAGTGTAAATTGTTGCAAAGCCATTTTTTTCCCAAAATTATTGATTTTACTTTTTAGTGTTTTCATTTTAATTTATTTAGACAAAATGCAAAAAAAAAATAAAATAAAAAAATTCAGTGCATCTCTATGTACTGTACAGTGTGTGCTACCATTACACCATCAATAAAAAGCAACATTTTCAGCGAGATGACGGGAACAATAGTCAAAGTTTGTACCAATCATGTTTAAGATGTTTATGTCACATGCAAAAAACAAACAAACATTACAGACAAGGGAGGGCCTGACCTCTCTGGTCCATGCTGTCATGACATGGGTGCTAGGGGTCCGAAAATGCAGGTTCAGCACAATGACGCAATTTAACACCACCACAGTGACCAGTACCATGATAAACATCAGATACCTGTCAAATGAAAATTTGTACTATTATCTAACTTTTCTTTCTTAAAAAAAGGATGCAGTATGTATTTAAAATCAATACTTAATATTGTCATAGTGATACTGAAACATTCTCATGTAATACATCGGCATACTTGACGATTAAGGGAATTGCCATAGACGTCTCAGGCAGACGCTGTGAAATCAGCAGCAGAAACACAGACTGAGCCAGCAGCACAGAGATGGATAATGTCATCTTCTCACCACCTGAAACAAAACACATTTTATGTTATATATTTATTCTCATATATGTTAACATGTTAGAGTACCCCAGTTAAAGTTCAGAGGTCTCCTACAATATAAGTTTACATACATCAAAGGTAAAAAAAGCATAATTTCATCTAAAAAGTCTAAAAACGGTTCGTTCGAAGATTCAGTCTTTTTAAACCCCTCCTTTCAAAGCCTACTCTGCTCTGATTGGTCGGACAGCTCATTCTATTGTGATTGGAAACTAAATGCCTAACCATATTTTAATTTCAGCTTCTTCTTGATACACAGTGATACGAATTAAGGCATCACATTTCCCGTATCAATTCCAGCGTCAGTCCTCTTTTAGGAGACAACTTTATTTGTGAGGCACTCTATCTTTAAAACTTTACAACAAATTTACAAACAGTTACATTACACACTGCATGAAAGGTAATATTTGAAAAAGCATCCTGGGCCGCTTAAACATAAAAGTATTGCCTGTTTATTTCAATCTTCTGTCATTGTTTTTTTTTAGGATGTACATTATGAGCTATACAATTATGTAAATGGCAGGATCACTCACTGTCTGCAGGCAGGTAGTAGACGAGCGAGGCCAAGAAAGAGATGAGCACGCAGGGAATGATTATGTTCACAATGTAGAACAGCGGTTTGCGTCTAATGATAAGGTAAAATGTGATATCCTGGTGCTTGTTGCTTTCCATTGGTATGCTTTTATAAATGTTTCTCCTGGCAGGCTTGTGAACAATTTCCCACTCGCCATTTTCTGCAAGAAAGGAGACAGGGAGGGATCTTGTATTTAGATGAAATGGCAGAAAAAGAGAAAATCATCATGTCTGATCTCACCTGTGAATCCCTCAGGATCAATAACGATCCATTCCACCTTGTAGGCCTTTCCATTCTCCTCCTCCTCTTTCAGATGCATGCTAATCTCTTTGGCGTTGTAAGTTAATGAGCTAATTGAGAAAGAATAAGTGTTGTGGGGCTCATAAGACTATAAAATACATGAAGTAATTCATCTAGTTAATGTATACCTGAACTTCAGAGAGCAGTTCTGCCAATCAAAAGGGAAGTAGTTGACATTTATAGAGCAGGAGCTCCGAAATATAGCTGGAGGTAACCAGTACACGTATCCATTGGGATAAATCAAAACGTTGCAGTAATAGGCCACCTGAAACTGGGCGTCATTGCTATTTAAAAGAAATTATTAAATAAAAAATGACTTCCTTCATTAAACAAATAAATACTGAGAAATAAAACGTGGTGACAAAAGGTAGCATACTTGTTTTCAAGGACAATCTCTGGTAACCACACCATACTTGGCGGTAGACGAAGTACAGGAATGTTATCAAATTCTGTTTCATTCCATTTAAGTCTATAATCAGTCCAGCCCTTAAAAGAACAAGAGAGAAATAAATGTTGGTGAACACATATTAAATATGAATCCAACAAAAAAAAAAAAAAAAAATGTGTGTGTCTGTGTGCATTGCATGGAGCAATTCAAATAATGTACTTACATGCTCCATCCACACATTTGTTAGTAATGTCTCATCAACTTCTTTCTGCCATGGAAAAACATCTTTGTTAAACAGACTGACACAGATTGAAACATTAAGGTGCAAATTTATAAAATAACTATAATTTGTTACATAAAAAAGGTATTCTGATTACATAACTCATGTTACTTGTAATGTGTTACACCCAAACACTGATCGCAGTATAACATCTCCCCTGCTCTTTGTACAAAAAATGCTCATATTGGTAATATTATGCACTCACCAATGAAATTAGATTAGAAAGTGTCAGCGCCAGGTAAATATCTACAGTTTCATCTTTATTTTGGACCGGCCGAAGCTCTTTGTTGTAGCCTCGTTCCTTGAAAAGGTAGTTGATGAGTCGCTCCTCTTCGTTCCGTCCCCAACATTCTGCAAAACACATTGACAGTCAGACCTATTTCAGAATAATCTATCAAAATAATCATTTCTGATTGATAAGATGTGTTCTCAGAATGAGCTTCTTTTAACGGTTTATTAATGGCAACAAACACCACCTATCAGGTATTTGGGTACCATATTTTTTCAGAGAAAATAGCTATATGGATGTTGTAGTCTTTTCTACATGCCTCAAAACAACTCTAAATGACAAGTATTTAACATTGTCATCATAAAAATATGACATCCATCATCCTGTATTTGTACACTGAACCATCATCTTCACCTCTCGTTCACATGGACAGGCGACAAGTGCTTCAAACCAGCGATTAAACGAAAAGGAAATATCTTTTATATAATGCATTCAGTCCTTAGTTCACTTTAAAAGTGCAATCTAATTCCCAAAATAAGTTGGTTTCAGTTTGAATGCTAGAAATAGTCCTACTACCATTTAGTTATACTATAATAAACAACATATCAACCACAGCTGACAGAAGGAGGGTCATAAAATCCCATATTTTAAATATAAAATATTAATTTAGCTTGTCCTACCTTGGAAAAAGAAAAACAAAGACACTGTCAACAGATGAAGAATGTTTCTCATCATGGCATGCCGTTGAATGGCTTCCTTTTACTGTTGTTGCTGTGCCGTCCACGGCTCTTCTGTACGGCTTTTCCCTTGACTGACACAGACAGGTGTGGAATCAATCCACAGAGGGAAAAAACACACACACAATCTCCAATGTCTCCTGCCGGCGTTAAAGAGAATTTAGACAACGCTCAACAAGATTCAAGGGCCCATATTTAGAGGGCAAAGTAATCAAGAAACATATATGTGCTCTTACTTATCTATCCAAAAGAGTCAACCCAAACCACTCGTCGTCAGCTGTGAGATGCCAACTGTTTTGCTCTCTACTTTTGTCCACACGGCCCTGGTCTAAAAATGGATCACACAACATTCCAGTGGTGATCCTAGCAGGGCACCTGTCAAATGAAAAAAAAAATGTGTTTGCACAGACCATTAGTTTTAAGGCAAGAGTCTGATCTGTTAGAAGCCATCAGGGCTACCTGACATGACAGCAAAGGGAAAAAAAGAGTTGGATTGTCCAGTTTTAAGTAGCGTTGCTACTGTAAATGTTTTAGGATGTCTTTGAAATGTCCAGCAGAGGGGGCCAAAAGATAACTGGAGATGACAGCGTATGCAGAATGGGCAGCATGTTTTTACATATTTACCCATTAATGTATTTTTCTAACTATGGTATACAATTTTGGGTCTGTGACGTGTTATGCATTTTAGAAACTAACTTATGTTACGTGTGTGATTCATAGCTGTTTACTTTGTCACAATTATTCACATAACCTATATTTTCACTCAGTCAACTTTTTATGTCAATTACTTTACTAATTACTAGTAAAGCTTAAATTGACAAAATAACCATGAGTAGCCTATTGTAATATAGTTAATCCTAGGGCGTAATTTCACTCTAATGCTAAAACTCTGTACTGCAATTAGTTTTTAAATTAATAAAATGTATAATATTGTTGCTGTCGGGCAGAAGATTGAACCTCCATTTTTCAAAAATCATTACTATTGGTCTTCCTTTACGTCTGTCTGGGGTTTTTGCAAATATTTAATCAATGAAAAGTATTGAAAAGGGCTTGTGACTAAGCTCATAACTCCATTGGATCATCAAACTTTCGGTAAAACCTCATAACTCACCACCTCTATCGTGAATGAAGTGCCGAATGCAGTTTGGACCGTCTCTGCTTGTTTGCAATTGCAAGGATAAATAAAGAACTAGTTTGTTGAATAAGTACCGCTTATTCAACGGAAGAATAAATTTCTTTACTCAAAAAACACTATAAAACTTATTTTACCTTAGTCACTAGGCTATATGAGGTAAATTCTGAGGTTTCCGAACCATACGTTGGTGACCATTAACAAGTTACTTAAAGGGATAGTTTATCCAAAAATAAACAATTCTGCCATTAATTACCCAACCTTGTGCCATTCCAATTCCTTTTGTTCATCTTTGGAATACAAATGAAGATCTTTCAAGAAACATAGTTCTGTCCCTCTATTGACAGTCCATGCAACTTGACGTTTCAGAATGTTCATAAAGAGATCATATTTTCTAAAGAGACACTATCAATTTATTTGATGAACAGATTGAATTTAGGCCGTTATTCACATCTAAACATTCATCAACTCACACATTGTGCGCGCATGTTCGCTTGCTTGACGCACGAGAACCAATGAGATTCATTCTCGTGTGTCCCATCACATTTGAGCTTCCGCAGGAACCAATGAGGTTTGTTCTGGCGTGTCTAGTAATGTCAGTTGAACTTCTGTTTATGTGCGCTGATCAAATGTGAATAAAAGACTAAATTAAATATGTTAGCGATCAAGTGATCAAGACTAAACCGCTCGATTCATGCCGCCGGAAGTGCCGCTTCGAGATGCCGATGCCGCATTTTGCGCTTGCTCTCTCCGATTCATACGTTTTTTTTTTAGTTTTTTTTTTTTTTTTTTGAGTGAACTGACCCTTTAAAACTTCTGGGATGTTATTGCAAAAGAATAAACAATTGTGAGTAGTAGTCAATATTGGGGGGAAAACGTTAAAACTTAAGAAATATCGGATTTCATTAGCCTAAATACTAAAATGCTTCTTCTTAGTTTAGATCCTAGCAAAACGTAACGCACTATTTAACTCGCGCATCTTTATTTATTTCTCCCTGCCTGCAACCCTCCCCCCATTCAAACCCGGATGGATGACTTCACTTTCCCGTCTGGGTATCCTTTCTGGTTTCGGGATCTCCCTCTATTTCTCTCAAGAACTCACCAGCAGGCGGACGCAGCACTCCTCTCTCCAGACACACCAGACGGTTCGGCCAGGAGAGATAGTTATTCCAGGGTCTTAGCTGGACTTTATCTTTCGACACTGGGGAAAAGTAGCCTGAAAAGACTTTTTAAATTCACATCTACCTCCAAATAATACTAGTTTTTCCATACGACCTTAGCTGGGAACTTGAGTAGCCTATACACCTGAGTATAGCCATGTCCGAAGTGCTGCCATACAACGAGGGGAAGATGAACGGCTACGGGGCGGACAGTGAAGTCTCGTTCAGCTGTCGACTGCAAGACACGAACTCGTTCTTCGGAACATCACAGTCCAAAAGGCCACCGAAACTCGGGCAGATTGGCAGGGCAAAACATGGTATGTATCCGCAATATACTGATAACCATCATAACATCATGCGTCTTACCTGTAACAATGGCTAATACGATGGTTTGTGTGCAACAACAGAGGTTACACACAAACAAAATGAAATCAGGTCCACAAATGATACTAAAACGCTATAAAAAGCATTAAATGTACAATTTTAATATCTTGATAAATTAAATATGAATAACAATAAAACATTTTTTTTGATACAAATGTATTATTTCAATCATATGGTAATTCAAAGATTTTTTTCTTGCACATACAATATAAAAAGAATATTGAAGAATAATTTACATTTGCATTTCCTGTTGAATCTAATATAATTTTTCACTTCATATGGTGAGGTAACCTACAGTTAACCAATTACAGTGTTTTATAGGCTATTTATCCATTTCATTTTGTTCCTCGTTAAAATGTTAGTTTTCCAAAATAGCTCTTTTCTTGTTGAAACATAGATATATGCCTTTTTTTTTTACTTTTTGCTTACTATTTAAAAGCTCTAAAATAACATGTGTGTCCTCTCTCCACAGTGGTCATTGAAGATGACCGAATAGATGACGTTCTCAAAGGAATGACAGACAAGTCAACCCCTGGCGTGTAAACCTGAACAATTACACCTCGTCAACCTTTTCTTTTAATCACTGGTTTGAAGCACTTGTCGCCTGTGCATGTGAACGAGAGGTGAAGATGATGGTTCAGTGTACAAGTACAGGATGATGGATGAAGAGCCACTCTGGGCAGTGGGTTAAAATAGTGAGATTTGAAGATGATGGCAATTCTCCAACTGAAACCCAACCCAAACTGCCGCTGTGAAGAAAGCTGCTCAAGATTTCTGGTCATTTAGCCCCCTTGTCTCGTAGAAGCCGTGGGTCTGGGTGTGATATTTCATCCCTACATCAGCAAACCGAAGCCCCTGTTTCATAGGCATCTATCATACTATGAGCTGCTCGTTCAAGGGAGCTGTCCAGTTCAGCACCTGACGCACAACTTGACTGTCTTTCCAGAGAAATAAGCTATATCTTGCATGGAAATGGGATGATGTATGTAATCGAGGGGAGATTGATTACATTTATTCACTGCTGTCATATCTACACACATTCCATTTTCAATCCTTGACTGATCAAATTCCCATTTTATAGCGAATAAAGCTGCCAGCAAGAGCTGAAGAATGACAGCAATGGAAGGAAAATGAGAAGCAGGAGTACAACTTCTTGTTTGTTTTGTGGTGTCGTGTATAGATTAATATATACGGTTCTCTTTGCATGAACTTTTCTCTTGTGCCATTGCGGGAGTTTCCACCTCTTTTAAACCCAGGCACGCTTGTTTTTACCGAAATCAGTATTTGTATTTTTTATATCTGAATATTTGTTATGATATCTAATTCATCTAATCCTTAATAGTCCATCGACACAGACAGGGTATGTGTAGATACAGAGGCATAACACATAATCATAAAAGGACAGACTGAATGTTATTTTGGGGATGGGGTTTCACACATCTGCATTAACATGCTTTTCGTTGCAATAAGTGATTATGCCTTTGTTGATAATGAAATGACTAGGAAATATAATTTCAGAGTATGTTCAACAGCACTCTCACTGCAATTGTACATCAATGTTTTTTTTGTTTTTTTTACATTTCAGTTGAATATTTATGTATTTGTTTGTTTTTGTATTCATAATGTTCAGTGTATGGTTTATTGTGCATGAAATATGAATATCTTTCAAGGTTATACATTTATGAAGCAAAAAACTGTACACAAATGTCTCAACATTCTACAAATGACTTAATAAATACATTTTGAGGATTCATTCATCATGAGGTTTCATTTTTACCTATTTCAAAGAGTGAAGTGAAGATCATGGGCTATCCTTTAATTTTGATATAATCTAGTGAATTTGAGGGTCAAATGCAGAAATGAGTTATTAAAAGGATGATTTCTGTAGTTGTCAGAAATTAGAGTGAATGTTGCCCCTCCAGCCAAGCCGACAGCATGAGAATAAATTCAATTCCAATTTAATTGTATAGCGCTTTTCACAATACATATTGTTTCAAAGCAGATTTACAGAAAGTGCGCAGGCGTTTACTCTTCACAGGCGTTAAGTCGTCTCATCGCAGGTGTTGGGGCATCTGAAGTCTCTGTGAGAGGCTGGATACAAACTGGAGCTGACAAACGCCATTTTCCTCGGGACTAGTGTCCCGAGATAGCAGCAGAAAAGCAAATGGGAAATAATTAGCATAGCTGCTGTATAGCTGCATAATATTAATGCATTTGATCTGATTCAACAGAGGAATAAAAGGTAGCCTAAGCATTATGTGAAAGCTTGGCTAAAGAGATGCGTCTTTAATCTAGTTTTAAACTGGGACAGCGAGTCTGAGCCTCGAACAATATCAGGAAGGCTATTCCAGAGTTTAGCTGCTAAATCAGCAAACAAACAAACTTAATGTCTGCCAACCACACCAAACCTTCAGGATTTTAAGCCTGGCATCTAAATAAGCAATGCCAAAAAGCCAACCAAAATACTCAAAATACACACTAACACAGTAACATAATGAGGGTCCCTACATGCAAAACGAAGCATTGAGAACTTTGTAAGTGTACAGTTTAATAAGAAGATACTTTATAAAGACAGTCCACTTCGTATACAGGCGGCACCATCTTTGCAAAACAGTCTCGACTAACGCCGTTCACACAGTTCAGCTCACTTAGCACGACGTTCGTGGTTTGACTTGTTGTGACTGTTTTTCCAAGATGGCTCCTGTTTGTATACACGAAGTGGACTGTCTTTATAAAGTATCTTCTTATTAAACGGTCTGTTCACTTACCAAGTTCTCAATGCTTCGTTTTGCATGTAGGGACCCTCATTATGTTACTGTGTTAGTGTTGGGCTATTTTGAGCCTTGTTAGTGGTATAAACGAGCGATTTCTTTTTGCTTATTAAATGCCCCCATTACTAGCGTTATACGCTAAACAGTTTTTAGAGATAAAACTCTTTACATTCGATTATCATGAAAACAAATCTCAGAGAAAGGTTGACTAAGTACCAATGTGTTATTAGACCAAAGGTTCATTTTGCGCCAGAGTTCTCCTTTAATTGGTCAATCGCAGCATTCAGCACTCTCCTTTTTTATCCAATCCTGTTCCTTTAGAGCCACTGTTCTGCAGAGTTTAGCTCCAGGACCAAGTTTGGACACCCCTGCTCCAGACATTCACTGTCACCATGGCAATGCTGCCACACAACTGCGGCTCTGCTTTCATGGCCCTGTCCCAAATGGAACCCTAAGCCCATACAATACAGTAGATTCGTGACGTGGGTAGATGTGGAGATTGTAAGTCCACAAGTGAGAGAAGGGTGCTTCTCATTCAGAACGGCAGCATAATAGGCTGCATATCTCGGCAGCCACGTCATCAAACTTTGTCAAAAGACGTCTCAATTTGACGGATCCTTGGAAGGAAGCCTTTGTTTCTCCTTCTTTCGGGTAATTTTGAGGGACGCTTCAAGTGTATCAGACACAATTCTCTGCACACATTCAAATTCATTACAAATAGTGGACGGAAAATAAGTCGGCACTGAGCTCATTATGAAACATAAGACAAAAACAAGGTTTTCGGATGTGATGGCATACGTTATCTTTTGTTTTGGTGTAAATTAACACTACTGCCAATATTGTAAGCCACTGGGAGACCACAGATGTTTGTCATTCATTAGAGAAAGCTAAATGTGTTTCTTTAAATAAACTGCATCAGTGATTTGCATAGTCGTGAATATTATGCATAATTGAATTTAGCAGTTAAAATGTGTTTTCATCTGTTTTTTAAACAAATAATCCTGAACCAAGAAGATTCAATTTCAGCTCAAAAGTTGTATTTGCTGTATCAGTTTTCGTGATGACCCAAACCAGTGCCTCCTAAGTTTGTAGTGACTCAAAGCACAGAAGAGTCTAAACAACCCTCAAGCTAAATTTCTTATCAAGCTCTAAAATAGAAACAAATTACATTTCAGCAGAGGATTAAAAATGAATGGTTTCTGGTTTATTAATGCAGACCTCAGAAGAGTTTTGCGCTGTGCTGCGGCACGGTGTGGTGTTTGATGTTTCTCTGCAACGAATACAGAGACGAGGCGTCGGAGCACGACACAGGCAGGGCAGGGCACCCAGCATTCTCTGCAGGGACACTGAACCCTGTGCTGATCTGCATGTGGCGCACCTCTCTGCTGACTCACAAAGACTCAAAACGTGACACATTTAAAAAAAAAATCAAATGTGCATTTAATTTCTATATTTTAAAACTATCTATCATTTATTGTTAATGCATTTCTTTATAATTAATTTCATTATTTATTAAATTACATATTTAATTTATTAGTAATTAATTTAGTCATTTAAAATCACATTGATGTAGCCTATATAACATACAAATAATTATTTTATTTTTTAATCATTATTTTTATACAGTTATCTAAAACAACGAGATGGACTTTTTTGATTAGGTTAATTGTTTGACAGTATTAGATGCATTTCTGAATGTAGAAGTATATTGTCTAATCATGCTAAAGAGTTTTCAATGACAGAATATCCAACATCTGTATTATAATTATTATTATTATAAAAAAAAAAATAGGCTATGTTGAATTGCAAATTGAATCCTCAGCTTACTGGTTGTGAGTTTATGTTGGGCTCAATTAAAATATGTATATAGCTAGGCTATGGAACATACAATTTAATATCCATCCCTACTAACTGTTTAGCAATAGTTTTGACTCATAACTATGACATTACATTTTGTGATGCTGATGAGGAGACTGTTAGAAGGGAGTGGGGGTTGAATTAAACATTATCCTACAATGTCTTGAAGCTTTAAATGGATGTTTCATTAATTCACGTTTATATAATCCTTAGATTATCCCTTTATGGGCACATCCCATATAGGAATCCCCATAATGGGATGCTGAATGCAGTGGTCATGTGCTTAATTTAGGCAGGATTAGATTAAAACTTCACTCCCATCATGCACCCTTGATATATGTCTATTAGAGAATGACAATAGGCCTACACTATAACTTAAAAACAACAACAACATCCTAAAACCTTTTTGTAACCCAGGTTGTAAGCCTATTATAATTGTTATTATTTTAGACCTGTCAGTGTGGTTTTAATTTGCGGTATATTGCGTACATACGTCACTTACCTGTGCGTGTCTCGTCATATCCGTAAATAGAGAAAGTTATTTACTTATTATGCGTGTATGGTGTAGTTGTGGATGGCATAGGTTATTAGTTGTTACAACGACTTAGATAGATTGACATGGAGCAGCTAAATCATGAAACTCCGATAATCACTCGTTTTTTTTTTTTTTTAAAAATCGCTGAACACTGACGAGTCTGCAGGCAAAAAGAGAACGACAGAGCTCGCAATAAAACGAGAATCAATTTGCTTTTCGAAGATGAGGAGAACTGAGGGATTTGAAATGTTGTAAAAGCGGTGCAATGGCATTTTTATTACATAACAGGTGAGTAAGGTATTTTATTCAAAAGATAAATTGCCATATTTAGCTCTCTAAAAAGATAGCTCGTTGTAAAGCATTATCTATTGCGAAGGGTCATATTCGTCCGCAGTTAAGCAGAGCCGAAGCACAACCAAAGTAATATTCTTCCGCAAAATTCATATCGTGTTCTTTTATATGGAAAGTTACTAAATGTAAAGATTATATCAGATATAATAGTAATATGTAATAAAACATGTTTCCTTAACTATACGCCTCTCAAACTAATATTCACATACTTTTGCTTGGAGTGTACTTCAGATGCACTGATATAGGTCAGTCTGTGAGAGATTATGAGGTAAATAGGGACCCTTCTCTTCTCATGACTCAAATCATCCATATATTATTTATAGTAACACTGCACAGCACAGGTAGTGTTAAATATGCCATTGTAAGCTGTATCTGATGTCTATTGTTTATTTGTTCTCCCTGCAAAGCTAAAAATAAATCACTTGATATTCCTTTTCTGATAACCGTAACAAGAACAAGACGGACATAAACAGCAGCAACTGCTGACTTCCAACTCACAGCAAAATAAATACAAATCTGTAAAAGATTGAGAAACATTCTGCAAGGAGAATAGCAGATGAAATTGTTACTTACTGATTTAACGTCTAGGTCTCTTAACTTCTACACTTCTACACAAACAGGAAGGTTTATTTGCAGATATGGCAGGGACGCAATGTATAAACGAATATGTGACAATACTTGAGATTGTTTGCAGATGAGAACTTTGAGTCTTTGTCTTTCAGAAATGTTGGAGCACACACACGAGGGAACAACATTGAGACGACAAGGATGACTGGAAGACAACTTGAATGACACGATGACTGGAGGTAGCATTAGCTATAGCAAGGTAGTCAGTAACATCAAGCAGGGCTGCATTTCTCAAAAGCATCACAAGGCTAAGTATAGAACCATTGCTACCAATGGTCTTTACAATCAACTTAACTCGTGCTTTTGGGAAACGCAGCCCAGGTAAGTGGTCTGCACTGCAGCATCAGACAAGGTCTGACAATATGTGCTCTATATAGTGCTGGTGACGAGGGGGTTTGTACTGTATATATTTGGTTTGATGAGGAATTACATTTTAGTTGTGACTCATTGTATGTGTGAATGTGATCCACAATTCACTCTTCATTTGCTCACCAAGCGACTTCCCTCAAACACCAGCTACTGTAATGTATTCAAGCAAAATTGGGCCACTGTGTCTCTTGACCATGAGTCAGCGTGTGTTTCTGTTTTTAACAGATGTGGGCATCTGAGGGG